AAAGGAGCCATTGCAGGCTAACTCCTCGTCTAACAGTCGGCCGACTGACTGCGAGGACCGAGTTATCTTCTCAGCTGGTCATCGTCCAAGATACGACTTCTAATGCGTAGGGATGTTTTCGAAGCGCCTCAGGTTTAATCTAGGGAGGAATGCGCTGAAGAGGCGTGGAGATAGAGCCTTCAGAGCCGGCCTCATTCCCCCTTCCCTCTCCCGAACTGGTTAGCCATCTGAGGCTAAGATTGGGCGTAAATGGCTGACGGAGCTAAACAGACTGCCTATGCGTTCCACACGCGACCTCTCTCCCCATGCACACCAGCTTTTTACGGCTGGGGGGCTAAAATGCTTCAGAGTTTCTGCTTCATACAACTCGGCACAAACGGGCAAGCCTTTCATCGCCGCAAGTAGCATGCTGATGGAAACTTAAACAATATCTGAACAGATTTATAAACCCGACAACTCCAATGTAATCACTTGGATATCCTTCTGGGCAGTATCTATTATATGACCTCTTATGGTGTATAGTTGAGCATATTGAGAGTTAATCATTGATTGATCTAAAAAAGGGATTAATTATCCTGGATGCAGACCCACAACCCCAGGTCCTCTCTGCGTTGAGTCAGGAACGCAGTACAAATCAGTCATCCGATAGTAATTTCAAGAGTCTGTCAAGTAACCACCCTAAAGGCTATTGACGTATGAACAAAGGAGCGTGGTTGCTGTCGTATGACGCAGTCATTTTTCGTCTATAACCCACACACTTCTCATTCCGTTTAACCAGGGAGATTCTGATTCGGTAGACAGGTTTTAAGCACTTGCGAGTCCAATATAATAGCCCCCTTGACTGAGTGTCGCAAATTTTGCAGGATTGTGGCACGTTGGCGGACGGAATGAAAGTCGTTAACGTGAGGAAACAATATCTACGCATGTACATCTTCTTGTTATCAGTGCACCAATTTACATGCTGCCGACAGGAAGCGTCTGCGAAATCTGCGCAATACACTTCTTCTGTGCGCATGTTTAACGGGTTAGGGGCAAATAACTGCCCCCACGACTAACGCGAGACAGGATATGAGTTTCATGTTCCGCCAACACGATGGTGCGTGTCTTCAACGGATGTGCGCAG